TCCACCACCTCCCCCTCTGCTCCCCCCCCCTTCTCCTCTCCCCCTCCCGCTCCCCTTTCTCCCTATCCTCTCCGTCCTTCCCTCCTCCCCATCCTTCCCTCTTCACCCCTTCTCCCCTACTCCGGCCTACGACCAGGAAGCTAATTACACATGTGGCCAGAAGTCTTTCCAGCGATCGGCTTTTTGGCCAGGTGCTCCGAGTTTCCGCATGGCTATCTAGCGCGAAGCCGCCGAATGCTCCAAACGTGAATCCAGTCGTACGCATTTCCAGCTTCCTGGTGCACCCCCTCCCCTACCTCATTTTCTCCGACTTTCGTTGGTGGTCCTGGAAGCTGTGACGAGCGGCCAGACAGACACGCGTCACGGCAACGAAGGGAGTTGGAAAGGGTAGGGGGAGGGGAAAGGATCAGGTTGTGTTTTTCCTCCCCCATCCTCCTCCCCCCTATCAAGGAAAGAAAGCCATGTTTCTTTTGCTCTTCTTCATTCTCCTCCTCCTCCTCCTCCTCCTCCTCCTCCTCCTCCTCCTCCTCTTCCTCCTCCTCTGAACGGGTAGAAGGACACAGAGGAAGGTGGGGCCCGAAGAGACGTGGAACACCCGAAGCTTCATGGTTACAGAGGAAGGTGTCGGGCCTCCCGAAGGCCCGACAGGGATGGATTGAAATGAAGACCCGACGTAGCGGGTGCGATTCCAGGAGGCGTGGGACGAGGAAGAGGAAGGTGGAGGAAGGAAGAATGGTACAGATGAGCGGCGGAAGGAGAAATATACCGATGTGTTATGTCTCCAGTTGCAGCAAAACACACCACCGTGCCAGCGCAGCTGAGCGAAGGTTGGGCGTAAGGCCCGCTCTGGCCCAGTCCTCTTCTAGAACTGGCGCTGATCCTAAACATCTCTTTATCTGCAGCCTAGCTCCCCAGCTGCCTGCGGCAAGTCCCGCCACCGTGGCAGCCCAGCAGTCTGGGCGGCGACTGTTCGATGGGCGCGTCCTCTCCCGCAGTTTGTGAGGCTGGTGTTCTCGAAGCGCCGCTGACGGCACCACCACAGGATTTTTACCTCCCGGGACTTCGCCACCGGGCTCTTGTCCAAGGTGTACCTTTTCCTGCGCATCTTCTTCGGCACCGCCTGATCCCAGGGCTGCGCCTTCTCCCGGCCGCCGTGAGGCCCCGCCTTCTGTCGCCCTTTCTCTGGTAATAAAAGCTGTGCGCGTCCCGCTTAGCTTCCAGCGGAAGAGGTTCGCTCTCGCCCCGCAGATCAAAAACTGTTCGATGGGCGCGCATAGGAAGCCGAAACATGTGTGAACCCGTGTCTCGCTTGAGAGATCCGTAAATGCGGCACGTTATTCCGCGTCGTGTCGGGGTGTCTCTCCTCTTGTTCGTCGTCGTGGTCCTCCCTTTATATATGTCCCGTTCCTCTTGGCATGTCTTTGGGGGGGGTCCTTCGGCCGTCATAGGGTACTCTCAGGCAGTATGGCGCGTTCGGAGTCCTTATTGGCGGCCTCTCTGGGTCGTCCTGCGGCACCACACGGATTGCACCACATGGACTGCACAACCTAGACTGCACCACAACATTGAATGCACCACCTGAATTGCCTAGCTGATGTTGCAAGAAACCACTGCTTGAGGTCCACGCTGGCTAACAAGTCTTACTGCTGATGTGGAAGTCCAGCCAATTCGTGTCCTCATGGTGCTGCCGCTGCAGCATGAGCTTCGTTCTAGGAACGACGCTTTGTTCCAACGCAGAGTTGATGAAGGAGCTGGAGACGGGAGCCACAGCGGGCATACTGCACGAGATGCCCTGGCAGGGGCACTTTTCGCGGAGCTGGCGAACCTGCGCCTCGACCAGGGGGCGGCCAACTGGGCCGCCCCAGTGGCAGCCAACTGCAGCCGCGTGGAAGACCACAGCGATTGGTTCCGAGGGCACCTCACGGACGAGGTAAAGGTGGGCAGGAAAATAAAAATGTCCAAGGAGCAACTGCGCAACCGCTTCCACGACAACTACGCCATTGCGGCGCTGGCAATCCTGGAAAGAGCGAGCGGCAAGAAGAGACTCGTCCACAATGGCAAACGTGAGGTCGCCGTGAACCACCGGATTCAATGCCGGAACCGACAGAGGACGCCGAGGCCTGCAGAGAGGATTTATTTGAGATGCTACGAGGACCGACGCGAGGTCATCTTCTCCTTCGTCACCGACGTCAGGGGCGCGCATCAGCTTGTCAAGATCCTCGAAGACGAGTGGGGCATGCTGCCCTGCGAGGTCGAGGGCGAGGTGTACTGCAATACCGTGGGCACCTTCGGCATATCCAGCGCCTTAGAATGGTGGTTTTGGCTATACGGCGACGTACTACGGGCGATATTCTGCCTGTTGGGAGACGACTGGCCAGTAGAACCATTCGCCTATGCCGACGAATTGGAGGCGATCGGCGTTGGAAAACGAGGGCGGCTGGCACCACTCTTCACGGTCGTCTTACTCGGCGTCGTCGGTTTCCCGGTGCAGACGTTCAATATGCGGGACGGCCTCAAGGCGGACTGGATCGGCCTTCGCTGCGACTACACCAAGTACACCATGGGCCTCTCAGAGGCGAGGGCGGCTCGAGTAGCAGCCTGGTGCACGGAGACATTCAAACGCGGCACCATCCACGTGAGCGAACTGGCGTCGGGCGTGGGGCGCCTGGGCTTCGCGGCGATGATTTTGCATGGGAGACGCGTACGCCTGGCTCGCCAGCGTCGCATGGACTGACAATAAGAGGGCCCCTCGAACGTGGGCGACCGGGCTCGTGCCGACGTGGATCGACCAGCGGTTGGCGAGTGGACAACGATTGGAGGCGCCCATCAGGTTCAGAACCGAGAGCGCCGGGCACTTCCGGCGGCTGGGAGGCACCACCAAACGGCAGCACGCGAGGGGCTCGCTGGCACGCGATGGAGGTAGATAAGGAGTGGTTCCCTTGGGCGTGGGCCAAGGCAAACGACCCGAGAAGCCCAGAGAGCGCCACCAGAGGGTTAACCTCTAGATGTCGGGGTCGACGGACAATTTGGGAGACGCCCCCGCGGCGAACAGGGCAACGTCGACCAAATGGCCATTGACGGCCGTACTCCTCGTCATGCAAGACTTGAGGTCACACAATATTAGGCTGAGCCCAGACTGGCCACCTCGCGAGAAGGAACAGGAGGCGGAAGATCTCAGCAACATGAAGACTTCGGACTTCGACGAGTCCCTCAGGCCTCACGCGGCGGCCGCGGACCTGAAGTTGCACGTGCTCGACGAGATGGCGCGGGCCCCCCTGATGCGCCACGAGTCGATCGTCGAAGAGGACGGCCGCCGCGGTCTGGACACCCACAACGGGGCGTGGTCAGAAGGGCCGCGGGCGCACGCGCCTGGCGCCGCGGCGACGGCCGCCCAGCACGTCGTGGACGACATCGCGCGGGCGGAGCTGGAGGCGGCGGCAGCGGCGCGCGGGGCCCCTGCGACCTTTCGAGACGGAGGCCCAGCGCGAGGTCTTGTGGCAGGCCTGCGGGATAGATAGTCTTGAACCCCACCCTCGGGCGGGCGCCGCCACGGGGCGGCCTTCTGGCCCCCCCTCTTTCCGCGGCGGCGGCAGGGAATCCAGGGCGGGAAGGGTGCCTTATGCCGCGGCGGGCCTTATGGAGGGCGGAAAGGGCTTCGAGACCGCGCCCACGTTTCCTTTGCCCGTCGCGGCGCGGCAGAGGGAGCGACGATGCCTGGGTGACGGGGTGAGAGGCGCGAGGCGCGATTGGCGGGCCTCGACGATAGCAGCGTCGGGCGAGGGAGGGACCCGTGGACCTTGCCAAGGCGCCTCTGGACCTCCGCCCCCTTCCTCCTTGGCAACCCATTCCCATCGTCGGGGAGGGACATCAAGTTCTTGGGAGCGGTTCGGCCCCCTGCGCTACAGGGCCCGCGTCTCCGCCACCCGTGCAGAGGCACCAACGTCACCCCTTTTTTTTACCATTATCGAAATGCTTGAAGGGCCGTTCGAGGATACGCCACCGCGTGCCAGCACGAACGTGTGTCCTGTCACGTTTCCCGATGCCTATGGCCACTTGGGTTCAGGTGATCGGCCAATCTTGAACAACCCAGCCACCACCCTGGCATGCCAAGTTCCTGGGAGTGGCCCGGTCTTCTGCGTTACAAGGCCCCCGTCCCCGCCACCGGTAAAAGAGGCATCAATGCCACCCCTCTCTTACAACCATCGCACCACTTGTAGGGCCATTCGAGGATTCGCCACCGCGTGCCAGCACGAATGTGTGTCCTCTCACTCTGCCCGATGCCTGTGGCCATTTGGGTTCAGGCGTTCAGCCAATCTTGAGCAACCCACCCACCACCCTGGGGCACCAAGCTCCTGGGAGCGGTCCGGTCCTCAGCGCTCCAAGGCCCCCGTCTTTGTCACCCGTAAAAGAGGCATCACTCTCACTCCACCCTTCTACTTCCATCGCACCGCTTGTAGGGCCAATCGAGAATACAGAATCACACGCGCACGCATACACACACACAAACACACACACACACACACACACGGATATAAATCCGTGTATATATATATATATATACACATAAACATGCACACACACACACACACACTAATAATGTTTTTGTTCCTTCCCTCCTTCCTCCTCTCTTCCCGCCTCCTTCAACCCCACCGTCCTCCCCCCCCTCCGCCCATTCTTTCATTTGTCATGTTTGATTGATCTGCCCTCCTCCTTTTCATACTCCCCACCATCCTCCGCAGCATCCTTTTGATCCTCCTCCTCCTCATCATCATCACCATCGCCACCGTCATCACCATCTCCATCCTCATCATCTTCGCCATCAGCATCACCATCATCATCATGACCATCATCATCAACATCATCATCATCATCATCATCATCACCATCATTACCATCATCACCGCCACCCCCTCATCCTCCTCGTCCTCATGCTCCTCGTCGTCCTCGTCGCCCCCGCGAACGGTGCTGTCGTCACGTCGGGGGCCGTCCCCGCGGCCGAGGTAGCAGCGGCGGAGGTGGCGGAGCTGGCCAGGGCGGTTGCCGATGCGAGCCTGCCGTCATCGCAGAGGTGGCATACCCTAGAGAAGGAGGAGGAGGAGGAGGAGGAGGAGGAGGAGGAGGAGGAGGAGGAGGGGTATCGGCGCGCGTCCCACCTTCCCCCCCTCCCCCTTTCCTACAACGACCGTCCTTCCAGCTTCACCCCCCCCCCCACCGCCCTCCCAGCGGGCCCTTTTTCGCCACGGCCAGCGCCCGATCGCCCTCCACGTCTGCCGGCACACCGCCGCCCCCGTCGAGCCGAGTGAGGATGTCGAGCACCGACCTGTCCGCATAAAGAGAGAGAAGGAGAGAAAGGAAAAGGAGGAGGAGGAGGAGGAGGAGGAGAAGGAGGAGGGGTATCGGCACACATGGCAGGGGGTCATGAGGATACCGTTGTTTGGGTTCACGAAACCAGTCTCCTAGCACTGATGGGCCTGGGGGTGGCTCGCCGGGTATGCAAAGCAAGCAAGTAGCAAGCAGTAGTTAGACAGCAGCCCAAGGTTAGGCGAAGCATCAACGCAGCGCGCGCCCGAACCGTAAGCATTTTGGCGTGGGGGCCGCCTCGAGCGGCCCGCGTCGCAGCCACCGTATTTTCTTTGCCCGCTTTGATTCTGAGAATATCGATGCATTTGAGGAGGATGAGGAAGAGGACCAGATCTTCGGATTATGTGCTTAGGGTTATGAGCACACCCCACGCCTTCACAGGCTGCCAGCTCAGCTGCTCCGCGCCCTTACGGGCACTTCGTCTTTTTACCGATCCTCTTTGCCCGTCCGCTTGGCCGCACCAGCTCGCGGTTTCATCTGTGGCCCACAGCGCCCAAGTCGGTTTCACAGCTGTGCCTGTTGTTGTTCATACCATCGTGACGCTACGATCCCAGTTGATCTGAGCGTACCTAACGTCGAACAAGAATTGAGCGAACACCTCTTAAGTGATCTGTTGTTATTCCTTGTTTTGCCGATCGGCTAGGGCCCTCGCACCCCCCCGTTCCCCCCCATGGAGTAAGTCTTGGCTGTTTTTGGCGCTTGTTTCGAGCAGGTGGAGTCTCCCCCATCAGACGCACGGTTCCAAAGAGTCGCACTACGCAGAGGTCCGGAGCCAGACCCCCCCTGCTCCTCCCCCCTTCCGCCCTGTGTCGAAACGCCGACTGAGAAAACGCTCGTTGGGTAAGCAGCGAGGGCGATCGCCAACGCTTTCGGGCATTGGGCGGGCCGCGCCTGGGCAGGGCCACACCGGAGCACCAGGAAAGGAGGTGGGCGTCCGCGGAGGAGGAGCGCGAAGGAAGGGGGGGGGGGCGGGCGGAGACATTTGTCCGTCGGCGGCCAGGCAGAGTTGGGCCGCGCCAGCCACAGAGCCAAGCGGGGGCACCGAGGAGCGAGCTGCCCAGCGTGCAGGCGCGGGAGGAGGACAGGGGGGTCGGCCACGGAGGAGGAACGCAGCGGGTGGGGGAGACATGCGTAGACGCACGTCGCCACGAGGAGTGCGCCTGGCGGCCTCGGGCACGGAGAACTGGCCCCTCCGGCGGGTGCGCGGCCCGTGCGAGCTGCCGAAGGGGGGGGGGGGGCAGCGCAGGGCCCACCGGAGCGATTTTTTGCTTTACGTCGGCGGCGAGGCAGGGCTGCACCAGCGAGCAGCAGCGCTCCGGGGCAGCAGCGGCGGGCACGGAGAGCTGCAGCGGGCACGGAGAGCTGCACCAGCGAGCAGCAGCGTGCGCAGAGAGCTGGGCCTGCCGGAAGGTTTGCGCGGCGGCCAGTGCGAGTTGCCGAAGAGGGGGGGGGGCAGCGCAGGTCCCACCAGAGCGATTTTTTGTTTTACGTCGGCGGCGAGACGGGGCGGCACCAGCGAGCAGCAGCGCTCCGGGGCAACCGATACTTACGCGAAGTCGCCGGCGTGCGAGAGGGCGAGCAAGACAGAGGGGCGGCCGCGAAGGACAGGAGGAGGCGGAGGGCAGCCAGGCGCGGAGGACTGCCAAGCGGGGTGCGCCGACGCGGCCGGCAGCGGGCACCGGAGTGAGCACGGGGTGCATCGATACTTCTGCAGCACGTGCTCCCGTCCCAAGTCCCCTCCGCACCAGCATCTGCAAGCATTTCTGTTCACTGCTGGAGGCGCCCGGTCGAAAGGCGTCCGCCCCATGGGCCCATCATGCAGGGCAGAGCCCCCCGTTGTGCAAGAGATCCGCTCTCCATCCAGAGGTAGACTTGTACTGGCGAGAACTCCAGCAAGAGCCCACTGCTGAAAAGGAGTCGTGTTGCTGTCCGTGCTACTGTTGCGCGATTTTCTGGGTAGTCTGGCCTTCGACTACCCAGGGAGGGCGATTCTGGGTCCTTGGTCGCAGAGTTTGCGGGAGTCTCCCGCGAGAGTGCCGTATCGAGCGGAGCCGCCCTCCCTCCGTGCGGCCTTTTCTGAATGGGAAGCGTCTGGTCAAGTGTCACGCGAGAGCCCAAGTTTGAAAAGCCTCCTCCTCCTCCTCCTCCTCCTCCTCCTCCTCCTCCTCCTCCTCCTCCTCCTCCTAAGTTTGAAAAGGAGTCGTCCCCCACTGGCGTAGCTGCTGGGATCATTGAACGTTTAAGACGGCTGCGTGCGGCACCAAAGGTGGGAGCAAAAGTTCGACTTACTCGGCACAGCGATTCCCACATGTGCGTTTCTCGCATAAGCGAGTTTGGACGGGACTGAATCTGCTTATGATTGACTGGATATGGTTGAGTCTGAGCATGAGCGGATCTGCGTACGACAGCGTTTGAGTGTGAATGCGTATGTGTGTGAGTGGGTACGTGAAAGCGTGTGGGCAGTTGCGACGTGGTATGAGTTGAGAGCCGATTTGAATGTGAAGGAATCGGGGTACGAGTACGTCTGAGCATGAGTGGGGGGATCCCGGAGGTTCCTGTACTCTCCTGGGGGTATCTCTGTTCCTGGGGGATCCTGGTGCTCTCTTCGGCCTTCGTGGGGAGGCCTCTTGGAATTTCCGGAAGCCTCCAGGAGTTTCTTCGGATTTGCTTCAATAAGTTGAACCAAGGAAAAAGTTCTTGGGACTTCCTGGGGGGTCTTGGGGCCTCCTGAGCCGTCTTGGGGCCTACCCTGAGATCTTGGCGACTATTTTTTTTCGAGCTGGGCGTCTTCGCTCAGTTTCAGGCCCAGGGACCCTCACAGATGGATCCGGTTCGAACAAGGGCGCAGAAACATGGGGTCTGGGTCTCCAGTCGTGATTGTTCACAATGTCTCAAGTTGTGTTCGAGACGTCGGATCTCAGGGGGAGCCTCATGGAGCCTCCACGAGCTTCCCCGTGCAACTGCCCAGATCGAGCCCCCCGTTGGGAGGCCCGAGCGCGATGCTTGAAGCATCGCGGTGATTGCAGGGCTCTGAAGAGAGACTCCGCTTCCTCCGAAAACAGCCGTTCTGCTTCAGAGATCGTACCAGTCTGGACGTGCACGGGGCCCGAGTGCGGTGCCTGACACATCGCGGTGACCATATGGGTCATACGAGAAGAGGCGCCCCCCCACTCTGGACGCGACCGGTCCAGAGCGAGGCCTGCTGCCGGGTCCCCCGTTTTGGGGGGGCCCGAGCGCGATGTCTTTGGCATTGCGATGGCCATGGGGCTACAGTCAAAAACCCTAGTAAGGACGCGCGACTTTGCTCAGGGTACCCTTGCGTCCTTGCTCTTCCTTGCTCTTGCGTCCTTGAGGTTTTCGTCGTCCGCCGCCCCAAAAATCCCAACTTCGGCTTCCAATGGTCTTGCGTCCTTACCGCGTGTCCTGCTGTTCACTGGGCGGTGTCATTTTGCTCGAGTGGTCCCGCCAATCTGGGTGCGAGCGGGCCCGTGTAATACCCCCCACGCGGTGCCCCGTTCGAGGGACCCGAGCGCGATGCTTGCCCTACATCGCGGTGATGGGGCACGGGGAGTGAGACAAGGCGACCTCCGAAAACGGTCAGTTACGTGTGAGGTGTCTCTCGCAGCGCTGGGCGCGAACGGGCCCGTGCAGGGCCTTTCGGGCGGTTCCTGTGTGGGAGGCCCGAGCGCGATGCGTGGTGCACCGCAGCGGTCACAGGCTCTGAAGACAGGCACCTTCTCGTCTGTCTGGTCTTGCCTTCCCAGCATGCCCACTGTATATAGAGAAGTGCATGCCGCCCGTGGACGCGTAGCGGGCCATCGCGTCTTCCACCACTCGTTCGGGCGGGGCCCGGACAGCGATACATGCGCGCCCGCAGTGTCAGGCTGCGCGCGCAGCAGCGTTGCGGTCGTCAGCGCGTTCCCAGAATTACGGCCACGAAAATAAGTTCTGAAGACAGACACCTACAGGTCATTCGACATGCGAGGTCCCACCCTCTCGGGTGCGAACGTGCCAGTGCAATACCGCTCTGGGAACGTCAGTGAACACTCCGCGCGAATCTGGCCCTCCGCCGGATTCAGGCGGAGCGCCGGAAACGGCGTCAGGAGGGGCGATTGGGCGCCTCATGTCTTCGCCCGCCAGGAGTGCGGATGACCTGAGCTCCATTGATATTCTCCTTCAAATGAGATGCTGTCGGCTGCAACTTGTTCTCGCGCCAGGGCCCCCCCCCCCACGGGGAGCTACTTGGCAAGGACGTCCCGCGCCAAACCGCCACTCTGGGATTGGGCGCCAGATCCCAGAGGAGCGCTGGAAGCGTTGTCGGGAGGAGGGGCGATTGGGCGCTTCCTTTCCTCGCGCGCCAGGGGTCAGAATGACGCGAGGTTCAAAACACTTTTTCAAATTACCACGAGGAGTTCGTGAGGATTTGGACGAGGTAGGATCGCGCCCCCCCGGTGTCCACAGGGGGCGCTCAAGCCGGGAGGGTTCAGAGGGGGGGAGGGGGGTACTGACGTCCGCCCCCCTATCCACACAGGAATTGGGGCCTGGAGGGGGTGGGGGTGACCCCTCGTCCGTGATTCGCGACCTCCCCTTGTCCACAGGGGGAATCGGCGCAGAAAGTCTAGGATGCGGCTCCCTCGTGCGGCGGAGAAACGGCGCCGAATTCGCTCCCCCCCCTCCCCCCAGGGGAGTAGGAGGAGGAGGAGGAGG